CATGCCCCCCCTTCCCCCCCCACTCTCTCCCTCCGTCTCCTCTTTATTTATTTTGTGTTACTTTCTTAAAAGCTGCACTAATTATGCATATATTTTTATTGGCAAAACTGTGAAAAAAATCACATTGTTTTGTGTTTCTTTTAATAATAAATGAGAATTTATGTATGTCACATGAATTAAAGCTACACTACATTGCAATGTCAGTCGCATAATACATTAATGTAATGTCGTATACTGTACAGGGTTTAAGAAATGTGTTTTGTCCTTTGAATAAAATTTAATTATATAAATATTAGGTATTAGGTTTGATACATAATACCTTGTTTTATTTGAAAAATAATGCCAGCAAGGGTTTGTTTGTTTTTTTTAAACATCATAATACGCCATGAAATTGAAGGTGTAGTGTAGGGGTTCATGTTCTGTGTAGTGTAATGTAAGTTTTAATGTTTAGTGTAGTTTTTAGGGTAGGGAAGGGGTTAAAGACAGGACTTTACTAAATGGGCAACACTAGGACATTAAGATTAGTAGGAGTTACAGTCTTCAGCCACAGCTATTTAAAGGACCACTATAGGCACCGGCAGAGGGAGGGAGCCCGGCGCTGGAGAAAGGTGAGTGTTTAACCCCTTCCTCTCCATCCAGCCCGGCGGGAGTGGGACCCTGAGGGTGGGCGCACCCTCAGGGCACTATAGTGCCAGGAAAACGAGTATGTTTCCCTGGCACTATAGTGGTCCTTTAAACTGCTGTCATTAACCCCTTAAGGACACATGACATGTGTGACATGTCATATTCCCTTTTATTCCAGAAGTTTGGTCCTTAAGAGGTTAAAATCATCTTTGGTACCACTTGAGAGTGTAACTCCCATGAATCTTGTGTCCCAGTTCTGCCTGAGATTAGAGCTCCCAGACTGCAAGGAGGTGATCTGTGTATAATTACCGATTCACAACGAGAAATTATTGCACCATTGACGTCACCATCAACGCAGTGCAGAATTGTAAATCCTAATCTGCCGGTTAAAATGTGGGGCAGATCATGTAATATAGGGTGTATATGTAAAATATATGGTATCAATGAATAACTTAATACAGAAGGATAAGGATCAATAAAGAATTACAGTGATGGTAAAGGAAGAGCTGGCTTGCTGCACCCTTACCCATTGTTACAAGAGCATAAGAACTGTATTATCGCAGCGAAGAGAAATCTGGCTGCTACAGGTCACAGTTCTGAACAACTAAAAAGGCAAAAAGGATTCAGCACTGCCTGAGCTCACAAGGATAAACTACTTGGTAGGAGTGGAAGGCATTAGGGAGCCTTTGGCAAGCAAGAGAAAATCTTTAAAGCAACGGATTGAAATAAAAACATTGTATCAAGTATCTAGCATATAAAGCTTTTAGCTAAGCATGGAGCTCCATTTTCGATACTTTCGATAGCGTGCAGACAAAAACTGGCTCAGATAGGAAATGCACTGGCAAGGATTTGTATATGGATTATAATCATCCAAGGACAATTTAAGTTATCAGCTTTTAGCAGGATACTCAGCTCTTGAAAATATGCCAAGAGCTAGCATCAGCGATGTTGGTTGGGTGTATATGTATCAGTTAAAAACAAAATAACAATATTCTTAAGTTGGCCATTGTTATGTCAGGTGATTTGGATAATGCAGTACTGTATGGTTAATGTACTGTATTCAATTGTCACGCTAATACTTAATAAAAATAATACATTTTACTGGACCATGCCAAAACTATAAAGGCTACCTTCATCAAACATTCCAGCCGCATAGTACATTTTCCATATCAGTGTGTCAAGGGCTCTCAGGCTGTCCTCATCAGGATGTTTTGAGGAAGCTGTTGTAGGGTATGAGTGCCCTCGAAACATTGACATGCTAACATATGTAAATGGATGGATGAACAGAAACAAGTACGGTGACTTTACAATATATTTTCACCACTGCTTTTTTCAAACATGCAGCTTACATACAAAATTAAATCACAGAGACAGAGATGCGTTAGTCCTTATGTTGTTATATAGAAATACAGCTATATTTTAGATCTTATATCAATTATATACATATATAGCTAAAAGCTAGGAGTTGTGGGAAACTCACAGCCCAGTGTAAGCTGTCTGAAAGCAAATGTCAGGTGAATATTAATATTTATTGTTAATATTTGCTGTTTGTTCTCTTATTACACTGTTTAGATTACATTTGAATAATTCTCTGAAGCAGACCTTAGTCACCCATGGCGTTTAGATATTACAGTTCCATGTTAATCACAGGCATTTACAATGTATTTGCAGAATCCAGGCCAGATGGCAAAATTTAGGCAAAAAGTGTCTAATTGTTTTCAATTCAGTTGTCCGTTTACCAATAATTCTCTGTTAATGTAATTGCACTACATTGCTGCTATAGGTTGCTATGCAATAAATATTAATCAGTCATTTTGGGGAGTTTTGCGGTTCTTGTAATTGATTTAACCTTTATGGTTAATATATGCCGGTAATAAAGCTTGATATAGTGATGGAACATGCCTTTATTTTATGTTGAATGGAATTCCCTTCCAGTTGAATGGAACAGTTAATGAGCATTTTAACAGCCACAAATTAAAAACCTGTCACCTAAACACCTGTCTAATCCTACAGCTGCAGAAATAAAGCTTCCATCATTGTCAAATGACAGCACAGGGTGTCTATTCTTGTCTGTTCTTTCTGTATTCATTATATATATTAAGGATCACAGATCAACACTTGCTGGAAAACTAAAAGCCACCTCGCTGGGATCCTTATAGGGTGAGAGGAAGAAGAACATATTCCGGAACTTACATACCTTCAGTAGAAAGATATTGGGTATATGAGAGTCAAAAACTGTACACTACAATAATGAATTATTCTAGTCATCATAGTGCTACTTAATGTAAATGTAGAAGTCATTTTTGAAAAACCTGTATTCATGTAGAGACAGTCTATAATCATATTTTTTTTAAAAGACTTTCAAATCTTTGCGAAATAGGCTTCACGTTTGTTTTGGTCATCTTAAAATTGTATTATATTTTATCATGATTTGTGTTATGTAATAAATGTTCTAGAACATCATATGATATCACAAACCTTTTCTATAATCAAGTAAAAAGGACAACATCAAAGAAGATCAAAGGATTTGGTGTGATGATATCCCCTTGAATATTTGTTAAACTAAAACATATAAAAAAGAACAATATGTTATATTATGTATTTTTTTTATAAAATCACTTAATTAAGATACAAGATCTGACTTTCTAGTGTAGCATGTAAAAGCAATGAATTTCCGAGATTAACCTGTGGTATAAACAGATCAGGGGCTCATCTCCAGTTACAGAAAGACATGCTTAGTAACTGAGCCGTTTTAGGATTTTATGTGATACATCCAGATAGAATACAGGGATATTGTAGGGAATAGATCAGAGACAGATTGGAGCTATCTGGCGTTTAGCCGACTTTGCAAAATACAAACCTTAGTTTATCAGTTGTATAGCAGGCAGATCTTACTTTCCATGTACATTTTACTTTTCTACATGATTTTAACAAGCGGATAATTATTAACCATTCAATTTACCTTTTTTCCCACTCCTGCTAACAAACAGCTTTTTGATGTTCAAGCTCCACACATAACTATTGATATATTTGTTGCACTGCCTTACTACAAAACTTACCTTTTCAGGTTAACGGAACACTATAGTCACCCAGACTACTTCATCTCTGTGAAGTAGTCTGGGTGCATTGTCCTTTTAGAATTAAGTTCACCACTAATAGCTGTCAGTATGAGTGTGACACGGAAGCCCCATAGGAAAGCATTGAAGCTGTGCATGCACATTAGGTCCCCAATGCTCCTCTGTGAGGAAGATTGGATTGGATATCAGCAGAGGAGGCCATACCTCCTCTGTGATTGACAGGTGGGGGAAAGGTGAGCAGCATTGAGGAAGCCTTGGCGATGGAAAAAAAGTGTTATTTTCAGATTTTTACTGAAAATGGGGGACACACCTGAATACAGCTAGAGAAAATTTGTATGCCTGTTGCTATTGAGGTCTTTTAGTTGGGTATTAGGACATTATACAGACATTTAGCATACTATGTACTGCTGACTTTAGTACCACACTTAATCCATTTTCTGACATGTAAATATCTTTTAATGTTTTTTTTCTTATAGCTATTTTAGTTTTTATTTCATTAACCGTAAAGTTTTTTTAAGTTTTTTTGGACTTTCACTAAATTTACTAAAATTTACATTTACTAAAATTCTAAGTAACTTTCTAATGTTATTTCACATTCACCAATCAGCTATTTTCAGTTTGGCAATTTAAGGCTTACATTTTTACGTTCACATTTTATTTATTTTGAATTTACTATTTAGTAAATAATCATATTAATCTTTATATTGGTGATGCAGGGACATACCAAAAAGCTTTCATTCTCTTGAAACTCTTCATATGCAAACGAATTACAAAGCCATTCATTTCTTTTCCCTATAGCATAGCTGTCAATCTGATGGCAATGCCATTTATTTCCATGGAACAGAGGGCAGTGAATATAACTTTGCTTCTACAAGGGACGTGGACCTCTCCACTGAGGACATTCAGGATCAGTGGTCTGAAGAGTTTGAAAGTCAGCCTGCTGGGTGAGTACGCATTTTGTGTTGATAGTAAGGATGTTTCGCCACTGTTTCCTTTGCAGAATATTAAATGGATACTCGAAGTACCAAAACAACTTGAGCTTAATGAAGCTGTGTTGGTATATAGATCATGCCCTGCAGTCTCACTGCTCATTTATCTGCCATTTAGGAGTTAAACCACTTTGTTCATGCATCCATTAACACATGTACAAGATGTTTGATTAGGAGGCATATAAGAGTTAAGGTGGGTTTAAAAGGCACACACGTAGTGAGAGGTGGGTTAAAAGACACACCTAGGTGGGTTCTTAAATTTTATAAGGCTACCTAAAATCACCTATCTCAGCAAAAATATGAGTATTCAGTTCCACCATATGGCCATAGTGTGTTAAACTCATCACTACGTCTCAGTACCCCAATATCGGTGGTGGGTTTAACACACTATGGCCATATGGTGGAACTGAATCCCCAAATTTGTTTGCTGAGATAGGTGATTTTAGGTAGCCTTATAGAATTTAAAAATGTAGTTTTATGTTAGCACTGTTCCTTGTTCTGTGTTATAGATGAATTTTGGTCACTATAGCAGCACCATTCCTGCAAAATGCATGGTTCGGCTGTGCCCCCTATTGCTTTTTGTCACAACTACGAGGGTTAGCAGAGACGCAATATGGTAAGAGGGGTTATGAGACACACCTGAGGGGATCCAGCAGCACAGAACACATTTATAAAAGGTAATTACTAATTATATCATGCTCCCAAGGGAGGGCCATAAATGTTGCCCAGAAGTTACCCACAAGTCCCCAACCCTGGCTTACCCGTAATCATGTGCATGATGAAATTGACAGAGCAGGAGATAAGAACTTCTTTAGTAAAAAAACACTTTGCTGTTCAATCTTATTCAAAATGAAACTTTTGAATAAAATTTTATTCATGCTGGCCGTGTAAATCACGGCCAGGGGAGGTGTGGTTTGGACATAAACAGAAACAAAAGTAATTTAACTCCTAAATAACAGAGAACTGAGAAGTGGGAGCACAGGGGAATAATCTATATTAAAAAAAAACAGTTTCATTAAGATAAAGTTATTTTAGTTCTTAGGGTATCCCTTTAAAGTTAGAACAGAAATCATTGTAATTGAGCAGTGGTTCCCCCAGAATTGTGAGAGAACAGTAGACAGTCAGTGATAACTGACGGAACATTTTGTATTCCCAAAATCTTCCATATCTGAAGAAACCTGCAAGAATCCTTTGCAAAGTTGGATGTACTATAACTACTGTACGTGCATAAGTTTGGAGAAAAGTCTTCTACATATTAAAAATACAGGGTAGTTTACCTGTTATCTGTGCATTAAATTCTGTTCCATCAAAATGATTTCTTACTGATTATAGAATCTCTGTAAACCTAGGCATGGTTTGCTAATATTTCACTTCCAACCACAGTGGATGCAGATGGACAATTAATTTAGTATTGCGTTTCTATATGTTCTGCTAAACCACTTTCTGAATCTTTGGTACCTACAGTGCATATTGTATCAAATACACCACTGTTTTAGTCTTTAATGCCCCCCCCCCCTTCTTTTCATGACCTACATTACAATCCTAGGTTGCGTCTTGGGTCAGTAGGCAGACCTTACACTTCACTCAGAGTAAATGGAGCATAGTTGTAGCCAGCGAACCATAATGAGTGTGACAATCACAACTGACTGCCAAGTAAATCAAGCATTTATTTGTTCAGATGTATATCTGAATAGCACATTTCCTTTCCCAATAGACCCTTTTCCTGGGGATTTAAATACCACTTACATTTGTAACTTCTGAGGTACAGGGAGCCTGCATGCATAAGCAATAATGGCTGTCACTTTTTAATGACATATACAGTATGAATTTGAAACGCCAGTGAGGTCTTCAAGCAAGCGAGAAGAATGCATGACACTCACAGTGAGGCATCCAGGGACACATGATATTAAAATGGTTGAAAAAAGATCAGCAGTCAATTTTTAGTCCTCCACCCCTTTTCTGCCTTGTGCTTTCTCTTGTTAAGCCCATTTCCCTTTTCTTTTTTCCCCCTGGACATTAATAGACTAAATGAAGAATGCAGAGTCTGTCTTCATATAACCACACAAATTCAGGAAATAATTGACTACCTAACCCCTTGTCACCTTTCCATAGAATATAGGCCGAATTCCAACCAATGCATTGCTGCTATTAACTCAATATGTGAACATGCAATCAGGAAGAAGCTATATGAAGGATATACAGCTTGAAATCACTGAATAATGGATAAGAAATGAAGGAAGCACAAGTATTCATTTTACATTATGAGTTATGGTAATATAAAACCAGAGCTGTATGGTCTTAAAAGAGCACTTTAACACATGTAGTCAGTATCTATAAAACACAATTAAATCTTGAAAATATATTTAATGGAAGAGATGTTTGAGGATTGGACAAGCAGGAGAACTTTTTTTTTTCCTGAAATATATACAGTAGATCATAAATGTTTATTTCCCGGCAGGATCTACAATGCAATCTATAAGTATTTGGACAGTGACAATGTTTCATCCTTTGACTCTGCACTCCATCACATTGGAACTATACAATATTTATATAGTGACTAAGAGGATGAAGTGCAAACTGGATATTTCTTTCCCTATTGTATCTATTGTATCCTAAATGTTCCAATTCGTTTTTTTCCCCAGTTCTATACAATTTTCCATTTAGGGAATAGCCCCCTGATTTCTAAATTTTAGGAGATACAATGAAGCAGGGTGTTTAATTGCTCAATTGTGTCTTGCCCAGGTTTGTAGTACTGTATCATTCGTTTACAGAATAAAACACTAGGAGGTTTAGAGGGGATTCTACGTGTGACATTTGATTTGGAGGCTGTTGTTGTTTTCAAAAGCAGCACACACGTGTTATATAGGTCAGGCCAAAATGAAGCTGAAATGCCAAATAACAAGATCACATGCGTAGGAAATCCTGTAGATTCCAAGAAGAAAAATGAGTCATAGAATAACCTCATGATGAAGAGGAAAGTGTGCATAAAAATTAAGTGCAAATCATGCCCTTCTTATTTGTGTTTGATAGTAGAGGTATTGGTAAAACTTGGGTGAGTGAGTGTCAGTCACTGGAACTACTGCATTCCTCTTTACTGATGATGTAACTGCTAGAAACAGCATCACGAGTGATCCTGGCATTTGTATAAACCCTTTATCTGCTAGGTTTGATCCAACTGACTGAAAACTCTTAAGATGGTAAAATATATTTTCAACAGTGTTGAAACAACGAATAAGCCTTTCTTGGTTAAAAGGTGGATTTTGACTGGCTAGCTAGATCTAGACCTAGACCTAGATCTAAAAAACATGTGTTTCATCTCACAACTAAACAGTGACAAGACTGAAGGGAAATATGCAGGGCCTATAGGTGGCTGCAGACCATGTGATATCAAGCCACAACTGCAATGCGGTCACCTTTAGTCTGGTGATGTCTGTTGGTTGCAGAGTTGACCAGATGCAATGTTTTGCAACCAAAGACAACATACGTCCAGGCAGATTATCACTATATATATAATGTTCAAGTAGAAATTGTAGCCATATTAGTCCAGTCATGTAGATGTAAAACTAAAAAACAGATAAAGCAGCAATGCATTGGTTGGAATTCGGCCTATATTCTATGGAAAGGTGACAAGGGGTTAGGTAGTCAATTATTTCCTGAATTTGTGTGGTTATATGAAGACAGACTCTGCATTCTTCATTTAGTTTATTAATGTCCAGGGGGAAAAGAAAGAAAAGGGAAATGGACTTAACAAGAGAAAGCACAAGGCAGAAAAGGGGTGGAGGACTACAAATTGGCTGCTGATCTTTTTTCAACCATGTTAATATCATGTGTCCCTGTATGCCTCAATGTGAGGCATCTGATTTTTTTTGCACATAGATTAGATAGATTAGATAGATTAGATGATTAGATAGATAGATACGAAGCAACAACCAAAAAGATTATGGTGTGGAAAATATTGTGATTGAAAACCCCTTCCACCTGAAGTCTGTGGATAGTTAATACAATGTTAAACAAAAATCTGCACACCAGTCAAGCCATAAGACTTGCTTTCCCCACAGAAATCACAAATGTGCAGTGATGTTACTACCACAAAGGATTCTGGGTGGGCATATGCAAATTAGTTCAACAAAGAATCACATTTTCTGTGGGAAAAGCAAGTCTTATGACTTGACTGGTGTGCAGATTTTTGTTTAACATTGTATTAACTATGTATATATACATATAGAAGAAAAAATGGTCTCCACTCACAGTCTTCTAAAACGTAGCTTTTAAATATATATAATTAAAAAACAATAAACTTGATGCTGAACAACATCAACGTTTCAGTCCCCGGTCGGGACTTTCCTCAGTACAGCTGTCCTCAGGAAAATGGTAGATCCCCAGATGTTGCAGGACTACAACTGCTTTAATGCCTTCCCATCTGTTAGAAAGACATAGCATCGTGGAAGCTGCAGTTCCCCAACACCTGAAAATCGACCATTTCTCCATTTCTAACTTATACAATTATTATGTAAATGAAGTTCTGTTTTTTTTATTAGATTAACTAGGTTAAAACATGTTTTTGCACTCTGACTTTACATGCTGCTATTTACAGGTGGGAAATAACTGGAGCTGTCCTTGGTACTGAATGTGGAACAATAGAATCAGGCTTGTCCCTTATCTTTCTGAAAGATGGCGAAAGGAAACTGTGCACACCCTATATGGATACTACAGGATACGGGAACCTTCGATTTTATTTTACCATGGGTACGTTTGTTAAAATCTACTTTTAGATTTTAATTAAATATGGTTTCACAGCTTAAAGAATAGTCATACTGTCTTTTAGCAATTAGCATATCACATATAAAAATGCTGAGAGGGGGATATATTAATACAGTATAAAAGCAATAATCTTTTCTCTCTCCCATTGCACTCCCACCTTCCTTTCCTCCCTGTCCTCATCTCCTCTACATACTTTTATTGTTTAGTCTGTTAGTTTTTTCTTTAGTATTCTACTTACCTTTTCCTTATATTCTTACCTAGTTTTAAGATTTACTAATGCCATGATCCAGCAGCAGACCTCTTTAACCCCTTAAGGACACATGACATGTGTGACATGTCATGATTCCCCTTTATTCCAGAAGTTTGGTCCTTAACGGGTTAAATGAACACACCAGGAAGCATAACCACTACAGCCAGCTTGTTATAACAAGAAACAATTCGATAATCAGGTTGACCAGATGTCCTGGTTTTACCAAGATTGTCCCGGTTGTCACCAATTTGTCCCAGCTTCCCAAGAAAACTTTTCAGGATGAATAAATGTCCTGTTTTTTTTGCTGAAAGGCAGCCAGTCCCAGAAAAAAAAACAGTGCAGAAGCCTTGTTGGAGCAGGTTAATAGCACTCTATAACCGGTCTCTCACGTAG